GCCCCAGTGGCGTGCTAGGATGGTTCAGGTCAGCTTCTGAGTTCCTGCTAGTAGAAGTCAGTTCTATGAATCCTTCCAAATTCTGATCTGATATTTATTTACTTATTTACTTATTTATTTATTTAGCATCAAAATATTAAATATTGAAATATCATATAGTTCCCTACTTATTGGTCTTGATTAGCTAGACACTTAATTGGTCTTGATTAGCTAGATTGGCATATTGAGAAGTTTGAAAAGGTGATGATTGATCAGTGATGCCTGCACAGAGTGGGAGGGAGTGGCATTGGTTTTCACGCTTCAGTACAGTGTGGTTCCCATGATACTATCCGTGATGGGAAGCCATTGAGTAAACCTGATGAACGTAAGTACTAATACAATCCCAGCAATCTCTGAATTGTGAAGTCCTCACAAGTATTAGCATATTAATGCCTTTTAGAAAAGACCGAGGTAACCATGGGTGGACATTTTGATTTTGCAGATTTTTAATAGACATAAGCCCTAATTTAAAGTGGATCCAAACCTAGATTGTACACGATAGTAGTGAATTCCCGAAGTGAGACTTGTATTTAGGTGAATAGTACTTCTGATGACACCGTATTTTGTCAGGATGAGAACTGCTTGGGTTTACCATTTCTGACTCTGAGTAGAAAATTACTGTTTTAGTCAAAGCAGCAATGCTTTTCAAATATCTGTACATTCAGAATCTATTAGAGAAGAGCTCAGAGGATCCAAAGTGATTGATTTGGTTGAAAATGTCAAGTCTGAAGAATTTCCAAGCATACATCATTTCGTAAGCATGAATAATTCTTGCTACCTCGAGATAGAAGAGAAACAGGGCCCCTGGCTTGTTCATCAGTGAGCACAAGGCACCCACAGGAGGATGGCCCCAGAGATGCTTCTCCAACCTGGTCATTTCCATGATGGTTCTATTTATTTTATTTAGCTGATTACAGGAAATAGCAATTCTCTTCATTCCTTTCTGTTGCTTCTGCTCAGGATTTCTTTCCATCTTTGTGTAGAAGCATAAAACCACGGGTATAATGAAATATGACTTTTTTTTTTGGAATATGACTTTTTAATGTTTTGAGTTTTCATTACTGCTAGTTATCTAGGTTATGATTCCTTCTAATCACCTATTCTACCACAAAAGATATTTGTATTTTAATATTTAGTGTTTATTTCTAATCCGTGCCACTTTCTCTGTTAGCTGCTTCTACGTGGCCCACCACTCTCTGCTGTCATTTCAATCCTTTAAAATCTTAAATGAAGGGATCCCTGGGTGGTGCAGCGGTTTGGCGCCTGCCTTTGGCCCAGGGCGTGATCCTGGAGTCCCGGGATCGAATCCCACGTCAGGCTCCCGGTGCATGGAGCCTGCTTCTCCCTCTGCATATGTCTCTGCCTCTGCCTCTCTCTCTCTCTCTCTCTATGACTATCAAAAACAAATAATAAAAAAAAAATTAAAGTCTTAAATGAAGTATAAAATGTTTGGGGGTTTTGTTTTGTTTCAGTTGTTGCTATTGTTTAAGTTCTTTGTTCTTAGTCAAAAATTAATGTATAGAATTTAAGTAAAAATTAATGTGTAGACGTTTTTCTATCTCTCCCGGGTTAAAAAATAATAATAATAATTAAAACAAAATGGACCTCATTCCATTTTACTTTGCACCTCTCAGTTACCCCCTCCTATGTGTCAGGGAAGTCATCAATGGAAAAATTGGGTGCACAGGAGTGAATAGTTCAACAAATGCATAGGTTCCTACTCATTTGATATTTTCCAAAGGGACTGGTCAGATGTAACTTAATCCTTGGTATTCGGACATAAATTAAACCTAGTACCTCAGCTGGCCGACTCGATGACTTTCTCGCGTGACAGTTTGCATACAGTGAGAAAAGGTTCATTGTAGCAAGAAGAATGTGTGGAAAGAAATGGCTTGACATTTTATCATATCATTGTATATTGATTTGTGTCTCAGAAAAATTCAATGCGCTTTCTTGCAGCTGTGATTTTTCGGTGTGCTTAAAGGTAAACAGGAGAGACTTTCGGGAAGGACCTGATTCACAGGCATCTTGTGAAGGCAGTAGATACATTCTTATTATCACCTGCCAAACCATGAGAACATTGATTTCTGTAATCATTGATTTCTAATGCATAAGCCAAAATAAATTGGTATAATGATGCTGTGTTGAAGATTATTTTTGAGAAAAAAAAACCTCATGTGCTAAAATGCGTAATCTCTTGATGTGCTGTTTAAGGAAGATCATTAGAGAGCTCTTTAATTAAAATTAAAATTAAAATTAAAGCTATTGTCTGATAATGTAACTTGGTATTTTTGTAACTCTTTCTGGTATATACACAAACAAAAAGCCAAAGTCCAGCCTACACCCTCTCAAACGAGTATGATTTTCCCCCAGCCCGTCCTAAATATGAAAAGTATGTTCATTAATATAACCAATTAACATCCCTGTTTTAAGATGGTATCAGTGAATCACACATAATTTGTAGGTAGTTTAAAAATTTAGGTGAATCGTATTCATTCTTTTGTCTTTTCAACATTATTATTAGTATCATGTGATCATTTATTTAATCGGGCTTTTAGAATCGTAAATCCACAGTTATTTATATCATAATGGCATTAGCAAACTCAAAAATTATATTAATAAGGCCCTGATTTAATCAGATTTTAATAGGAACAAAATTATTATCCAAAAACCATTCTGACAGACGCGTTTTTAACAATAAAGTTTTCTGGGATCCCTGGGTGGTGCAGCGGTTTGGCGCCTGCCTTTGGCTCAGGGCGCGATCCTGGAGACCCGGGATCGAATCCCACGTCGGGCTCCCGGTGCATGGAGCCTGCTTCTCCCTCTGCCTGTGTCTCTGCCTCTCTCTCTCTCTCTCTGTATGACTATCATAAATAAATAATAAAAAAAAAACAATAAAGTTTTCTTAGGAAATCCATTTGAAAGTATAGCTTAACTTTTCAGAGATATGACGCAAACTATAATTGTTTCAATTTGAGACAATAAGCCAACAGCGTATGCTGGACGTCTAGATGAGGGCGGAGAAAGGTGCATGATGGGCTTTCACCGAGGAAAACTTCTATATTTGTATATGTACATAAAGAGATGAGGCCAGTGAGGTCCTCAAGAGAATCAGAAACAACTCCCCGTGGGACTCAAAGTCGAGAAGGTCACGGGTACTTGGGCAGCGTGGAAATGCAGTTCATCAGGACGGTAACATTTGGAAGGGGCTTTACTCTATCAGTAAAGTTTTGACGGATACCGGATGAATGAAATGGCTCAGGAGATTTTCCATGCCAGAAATGTTTCCTCCAACAGATTTGCAGGTGTCTTGGCGGTACTCACCTGTGCTTCTAAAACCAGAGGTCCCTCTTCATGTGAGTCTTCCATGGAAGCCTTTTGCATGAAACTGGTGAAAGGAATTTGCTCCCTTTGAGAAAAGTGGGCAGTTAGAGGGCTCCATTCCCCATCTTTATTCTTCTATTTGCTACCACAAACCCCTTAACGCCTCGACGTATGTATGCAGTAGCTGGAAGCAGTACGTTCTGTGTTACAACGTTATCATTGGAAAGCATAACAATTAGCATTTTTTAAGATTTATTTATTTTATTATTATTTTTTATAAAGGTCTTATTTATTTATTCATGAGAGACACAAACAGAGGGAGAAGCAGGCTCCATGCAGGGAACCCGATGTGGGACTCGATCCCAGGACACTGGGGTCACGCCCTGAGCCAGAGGCAGATGCTCAACCACTGAACCACCCAGGCGTCCCAAAAATTTATTTATTTTTGAGGAGGAAGAGGGGCAGAGGAAGAGAATCTTCAAGCAGACTCCCTGCTAAGCACAGAGCCCAGCTGGGGCTCGGTCTCATGACCCTGAGATCAGACCTGAACAGAAACCAAGAGTCGGACACTTAACCGACTAAGCCACGCAGACATCCCAACAATTACTATTTTAATGATTGAAATCATGGAAACTAAAAGGGATCATTTTGGATCATAGGAATATGTGTTTGATAGACCCCTCGGTGTGGTACTTTTCAAGGAGAAGGAAAGGGGCAGCTACATCAGAGGATTCTCATTGCAATCTCCAGAAAGGCATAGAATTTTGATATTAGTAAAAGGGGACTTTTAAAAATAAGAAATATTTGATGTAGAACATAAAAAAAAAAAAAAAACTGTAGGGAGGGTGGTTGGAAATGTGACAGAAATCATAGTCTGAGCTCATGTTCTAAAATCCTCGAATGCCGTCCTGGCACATATGGTTGGTTGTAGAGGTTGTGTCAGTCACAACTGAACATATGCGCCACCTGAACAGCTGCGTATGATGGACTTTTTACTTAATCTGCATGACAACTGAGAGCCTTCAAATTGTTTTTTTAAGTCTAAGAATGGTATGCTTTTTGTTGGACTTGAAGGAAATTAATCTTGTATTTTGTAAAATGGTTCAAATTCCAGAAACCTAATATATAATAGACCGAATTCAATCGCCTGCTAGAAGAATGAATTAGGTTTCAAAGTTGTTTAGAAAGGAGGAGAAGGCAAAGGAAAAATGAATATAAACCTTTTACAATTTTTTTTATTATTTAAATTCAATTTAGTTAACATACAGTGTATTATTAGTCTCAGGGGTAGAATTTAGTGATTCATCAGTTGCGTACAACACCCAGGGCTCATTCCATCACGTGCCTCCTTAACGCCCATCACCCAATCACCCCGTCCCTCCCCCAGCACCCCTACAGCAGCCCTCAGTTTGTGACTCTGAACCTTTTCTTTTCTTTTTTTTTTTTTCAAGTGATCAGAAGAGTTGTTTTACCCTGGTAGAAATAGAAAAATCATGTCTGTAGGGACTGGGTCAGGGTGAGAGTAGAAATAGTTCTTTTTTAATATTTCAAATTACTGTGAATGATTCCATCATGCTAAATGGGCAGTTTGCTGTACATCTTCCTGCAAGACTTTATTTTTTCTTTTTGTCTTTCAGGCTGGAGTCATTGATGTGAGCTACGGCAATGCAGATGATTTAAAAAGGATTCAAAAAATGAAAAATACAACAAATCAGATTGCACTCCTGAAATTAGGAAAATGGCCACTACTTTATAAGGTTGGTCCAATGGCTGTTTGTTGGCGGCGGGGTGAATATTTTCTTCTGTTTTGTTGGAGTGACATGCCTCTGTGAATGGAGAGAAAGCAAGAGAGACCTAGAAAGAGGAAGAAAGAGAGGTACAGGGTCAGAGAATGTCACAGGAAGATGACTTTTTTCCTCAATACAGCATTTCAAATTAAAACCTTTAAGAAAAAAATTAATATCCTTATTACTTAAGACAAAAGATCATTCAGGCCAGTTATTGGGGATTGTGGGACCTTCATAAAATTGGCATATTCTTTATAATAATACCTATGTGGAATGCTAGAAATAAGAACCAGAGTGTCCTCTTCTTATGACAGATGTGAAACTTCTATTATCAAAACTGACTAATTGCTGTGTGCTTTGTGTTAGACGAGTATCTAGCAGATTTACGGTCCTTAGTGATTGATTTTGTCAACTGTATAACTTCACAGTTACTGACTGTGCTCAAGAATTTAATTAAAATATAATATGCTAAGGAGAAACAGAATTTTGATTTATTTTATTTAAATAGAAGTTTATTAACACTCATCCACTAGATGCATTTACATAATTAAAGCAACTCAATCTAAGTATCTCATAATGAACCACCAGGATAGACAGCCACTACTGCTCGTTCTTACTTCATTTTCTTTTTCTATTATAAAAGAATGGTCAGAGGCGCATGGATGGCACAGTCAGTTAAGCATCTGGCTCTTGGTTTTGGCGCAGGTCCTGGTCTCAGGATTGTGAGCCTGAGCCCCATGTGGAGCTCCCCACTTAGCGTGGAATCTGCTTAAGACTCCCTCCCCCTGGGATCCCTGGGGGGCTCAGCAGTTTGGTGCTTGCCTTCAGCCCAGGGCGTGACCCCGGGGTCCTGGGATCGAGTCCCGCACCGGGCTCCCTGCAGGGAGCCTGCTTCTCCCTCTGCCTGTGTCTCTGCTTCTCTCTCTGAATCTCTCATGAATAAATAAATAAAATCTTAAAAAAAAAAAAAACCCTCCCTACCCATCGCCCTGGCCCTGGGCCCCCCTCCCTATTCTCCCTTGCAAGCACATGATCTCTCCCTATTTAAAATCAATATATACAGCTTAAAAAGAAACAAGAAAAAAGAATGGTCAGTGTAGTTGTGTCACTGGAACTCTCTGGTTCTGAAGATATATTGGATTTCTCCTTATCCAACACTTAAAGATCTTTGCTTACCAGGTCCAAAAATTTTCCAGAAATCTGCTTGCACAGTCTGTAAGGAGACAATAAAATGTCCTGTATCTGCTATCTTTTACCTTCCATGGATGCCTTTATACTTAAATCAGTGTCTGATGATTAGATGATTGGCCAGAATTTTAAGCTACTCTTGAAAATACATTAAATTTGACATATATGATATATGTATATTGTTGTGATATTAATTTTTAGTAGTATGATTTCTCATTTAATCACATTTTGGTCCAGTAATTCCAGTTAAATCAGTATATCTTAAAGAGGGAGAAACAGAAATGATAAACAACGATAATGAATTGTGGCAGATTTTAGAAATGATATATAAGCCCAGTTTAGTATTGAAAATGGTGCTGTTTGGTGAAATACTCTAAATTATAATGTAAAGAACAAAATCGAATGGCATGTGAAAATCCTCATAAGTCAAATAAGTTATAAGGTAGATATTTACAATAATCATAGTATTAATAATTATATTAATGTCACTTCTAAAGAGAGTATGTTAGTACTATGGGATAAATACTTTTCTGAGTGTTTTCTTTAAATGCATCGTCACATTAATCTTCACAATAATCACATTGTGGAGTAGGGACTATTATTATCTGCAATTTACAGGAAAAACAATAAGCAACCGTGTCAAAGACGGCCACAGAGTTCAATGAAAGAACCAGGATTCACACCCAGGCGGTCCCATCTCACATCCTAACTCTTGAACGTGGATGCGTGTCGTTAGCGTAGACGGGTAGATAGATGTAGCTGGCCAACTAGCTCGCTGATCGAGATGATAGATGGAATTTTTAACTGAGGCTCTAGTATGTACAAGCACATGCATTTCAAAGTGAACTATTCAACCCCAGCATTTCAAAGGAAATAAGTAAAAGCATGTAAGAATGTTGTCAGACCTCTTGCATCTGGCTTATAAAAGGTTGGAAGGACGGGGCGGGGAGAGCTGGATATACAGACACATACACATACGCCGGAGACCTGGAAACAGTGTCTACGATCGGCCTCTAAAGGGAGGCCAAGTAGCTGCCTGGACCAGCTCCCCTGGTCCTTCAGGTCCATACAAGGCACTGATGTTCCTGGGGCCTCTTGAAAAGGCAGCATACGGTCGTAGAGAGGTGACCCAAATCCATACTGATCTGAACACTATCCAACAAACAAAATTGATATAAACTGGTGTATGTTCTAGTGAAACAAAAGAGTATAAGTAATCACATGTTTTTGTTGGTCTGGGCTAGACTAGTCGGAGTGGATTATTTTCTCCTGGCCAAGAAATGGTTAGTCTGCTCCCCGCCCCTGCCACACACACACCCTTGTTCCGATGCACCTTCTTCTGACCCAAAAAGCTCCCAGCTTCTCCAGTATTATTTCCTCCAGCCTTTAGGGGCCAATTATATAAATTGGGTCAATGGAATTATGGATGATTTCTACTTCTTTATATTTTTCCATTGTTAGTAATATGGGCTAGATATTCTTTCTAAGCATTTTTTATGTACTGTCACACTAATCTTCATAATAACCATATTATTGAAGTAGGGACCATTATTATCTCCAATTTATAGATAAGTATCATTAGTGCATGAAGAAAGAAAGGAAACAGTACACTTCTTCAACAACAGACCTGAACTGGTGATGGACGGGAAGATGAAATTTTAAATCACTGGTAGAGTTTTGATCATGATGTGAGACAACGTATTCTAATTATTTAAGACGACTGACTCAAATTGATTATAGGACTTTTAAAATTACCGATAATCAGAAGAAGTCTTCTTCTAGGTGTTTGGTAATTTTTTTTTAAAGGTTTTATTTATTTATTTAAGCGAGAGAGAGAGGGAGGGAGGGAGCGTGAGCAGGTGGAGGGGAGGGACAGAGGATGAGGGAGAAGGAGAGGCAAACTCCCCACTGAGCAGGAAGCCTGATGCGGAACTCGATCCCAGGACCCTGGGATCATGATCTGAGCCCAAGGCAGATGCTTAAGCGACTGGGCCACCCAGGAGCCCCTGTAGATGTGTTTTGAACAGGCAATGGGAAATAGAATAGCATTGCTGCTGGTGCATAAATTCTGCGTATTCAGTCTTCCAGAGGTATGCACGACTGCGATGCCATGTGTGGTAGGGGCCCGTTACATAAATCGGACTGGTAAAATTATGGGCGATTAAAAATTTCAAGTTAGAGAAGACATTCAAAAATATTTGTAACAGAATTTATAGGCCAAATACTCAAAATCCTAACCAGTAGATTAGGAGTTAAAACAAGTTTCTTTATAGTTGACTGCTCCAGAGAATGTTTACATTATGAAAGCTTCTGGCCATATCTACAAAGCAGCGAAGTAGTGGTTTACCTAGAATAGGACACAATTATTATTTTTTTTCTTTTTTTTCTTTATTTTTTTTAATTTATTTATGATAGGCACACAGTGAGAGAGAGAGAGAGAGAGGCAGAGACACAGGCAGAGGGAGAAGCAGGCTCCATGCACCGGGAGCCCGACGTGGGATTCGATCCCAGGTCTCCAGGATCGCGCCCTGGGCCAAAGGCAGGCGCTAAACCGCTGCACCACCCAGGGATCCCAGGACACAATTATTAAGAACCTGGTGTACTTCCCCTCATCATCTTATTTATAGGCCCATGAGTAGATTTAACAAAGAGATCTACGTGGAATCCCCCCTAGGCAGAGCCTTGCCACACACTTATCTTCTAGGCAGAGGAGTCTTTAAGTCTTTAAATTCCACTCTGGCCATCTCTGTGTTCTGTGGATTATCCCAGATATTTGGAGGAATCATTGGTGATACATCAATACATATTCACATAGTGAAGAAAAAGGAAGCCTGGACTAAATACGGCTGTGCCGCGTGGTAACAGCTGAGCTCCTTTAACGGGTCCAACAAGCATCATTCTGGGGCTGAAACGAGAAAGCGAGGTGATAGAGTTTGTCGTGCAGCTGGGTTGAAAAAGGCAGAGAACCAACTGACTTCTTTGTGTATCACAACTGCTAATCGTGCTAATACACATTTTTTTTGTGTACCATCACATTAATCTTCATAATAACCATATTATTGAAGTAGGGACCATTATTATCTTCAATTTATAGATAAGTATCATTAGTGCATGAGGAAAGAAAGGAAACAGAGTACACTTCTTCAACAACAGACCTGAACTGGTGACGGACGGGAAGATGAAATTTTAAATCACCGGTAGAGTTTTAATCATGATGTGAGACAATATATTCGAATTATTTAAGATTATATAAAATCCAGATTGGGCACAAGTGGATGAATGAGTAAAGAGAAAAATTAACCTTTTTTTACCCATGCCGTAGTTACTAAATCATAGTTCAAAAATAAATTTTGGTGGGATTCTCTGCATCCGAGATGGAGGAAAAAGGGAACCTAATTGTGATGTTGAATCTCCCAAAGTGAGTAGAAAAATGTGTGAACAAGAAGGAAGAAATCTCATTAGTTTTATTGTAAATACTATCTATGTATTGATTTAGGGTTTGATGAGAAAATCCCTGCACTGTGCAGTAGAAACTATGACAGGCAAGTGGTGCCTAGCCGTGTGCCTCGACATCCATACGTCGTTGGGGAAGAGTCACTCCAGTTCACAAGATCTAACTTGCACTAGTTCCCTTAAGATTAAATATTAGAGCAGAGATTTTAGGGTTATTTTAGTTTTGTATTTTAGCAGTTTGTTTTATGGAAGAGTGCTTTGATTCTTTAAGCTTTAAGGCAGAAGGCTCTTTTATATGTCCTAATGGATTCACTTAGATTTGTCTGTGA